TCCGCCGCGGGCAGGTAGGCCGGGCTGTGCCGCCAGCCCTGCCCGAGACCAGGGTCCCTTCTCTTCCGCGCCCACTTTCCTTCATTTTGTTGTACTTGTTTGTTTTGTCAACCGGAGGAGCAGTAGCGCGTAAGGACGGGACGGGGTGAGGCCCAGTGTTGGGTCGACGCGGGCGGAGCGGTGGCCCCCAGCGCTGCTGCCGCAGGTGCGGGCGGGGGCAGGGGAGGACTAAGGCTGCACATGTTGTTCCCTCGGCAGTATTGAGTATTTAAGTTCCTTTTATATCACATTAAGTCTCCTTTTGTGAAGTTACCTTGCATAACTAAAGAATGAAAAACTGGGTGAGAGCCTGCCAGGATAAATGGGGAAAAATGCCACACTTGTGATTATTACTATTATTGTTTCGTTATGGGGTGGGACGGCGGACACAGTTACCTGTGCGTTCAGTAAGGTCTCTTCTGTTGCTATGTCCTTCCTGTTTGACAAGTCCTAATTCATGTTGATACGGTGTCAGGCCCTGGTCCTACAATTTGTTGGGTGTGGGCAGGTTGATGTGCATCTGTGGAAGTCCCCAGAGCAGCTCTGGATTTGAATCTCGTGTCTCAGTGCAAAATTTTTTATAGAGTTGAAGCCAGACTGTGGAATTAATAATGCTGTATTGGGATTTGTTGAAATCAAGAGAGGAGATTTCTTATTAGTGTTTTACTTCTCATTATTAGACTCTGTCCTCTTAGTGGGGGGATGAGGATGTGTATCTAAAACTTGACTTTTTAATGTAAGGCATCACAGTGATACTTTTGAAGAGAACATTTACAGGACTAGTTACAAACCTTTGCACAAACCTTTAGAAAACAAAAAACCCGCCAAACTTAGCAGCAGCAGGTTTTAGTTAAATTAAGTGATCCCAAGCAGTAAGAACATGGGAATGGCTGGGACCTTGATGTTCAGACAGTAATTTTAAAGCATTTATAAGTGACAGAGTTAAATTGCACAAATGCTGATGATGCTACGATGCTGACTTGTGTGGGTCTAACTCAGTGGTAGGAGTACTGTACCAATACTTTCTGAAAAGTGCGAGGACCTGGTCTAATTCCATATATTGGAGGGCATGCATAGGTGCGCCAGCTATTAGTGATAATGAGTATGTCTGGTATGATTTGGGTAGACACTCGTCTCTGTAAAACCGGACTACTTCAGCATAGACATAGTTTGGTTACTGCAGTTTTGTGCTAAATTCACATTAGACTTCTGTCTGTCTGTTGATTCATGCAGTTCTCCTGTAGTTTTGTTGAAAAACCAAATAACACATTTTGATACCTGGAATGTCGGACTAAAATGCATGGCTGAAAAGCAAAAGCCAACCCCTCCCCGTTTTTTTCCGTGACACCTCCATCTCTTTTTGTAGAAACGGTAACTTTTTTTACTGTGAGTGATTTTAAGGGTCACTTTCATGTAATCTGATGAAATTATAAAATAGAGGTCATTGCTTAAATCTTTGGGTCTTGAACTGCCTGTTTGTTGTAGTAGGGAACAGATTAAATCTTTGGTAAGATTGACAGCTTGAAATAGCATGTACAATCTGAGTGTGTCCAAGAAACTTTTATTTGAGAACATAATGGAAAAAACATAAATGTCACTTAGGCAGTTCTACCATAGCACTTGGAGATTAATGCCTGCATATTTTTAGCAATCTTTTTTAATGCCGCTTTATCATGCTTTGTCAATTGCCAATTTTATTTTCTGTTTGAGCAAGTGGTTTTTGGTGACACAGAGCTCTTACACGAAGTAACTTTAGTTTGTTCAGTTACTCCGTTCTGTTGATGTAGGTATCAGTTGTTTGGCACAGGGAATCTGATACAGGTTCTAAACAGAACAGTTGACACTTGAGGCTTACAAAAGTTGGGCTTATTATAACATCCAATAAATGAGTAGTGATCCGTGGGTTCGAGCGTCACTGTCCGTTTGGCCTTCTGAATATTCGTCATGGTGTATGTTTTCTGTGAATTGGAGCTGTCTACAAGATTTGGTAAGTGGATTCATAGCTGGCACCCGCAAATCAGTCAGGAGTGTATGTGTTACTGGATGATCATACAAATTAGTTTCGAATTTACTTCATCTGAAAAAAACACAAAATTGTTTAACCACATGATCAATGCAGCCAGATGGCATGAATGTAAATAAAATGGAAAAATAAAGCAAAAACTGACAGAGTTCAGCGATCATGGATTCAAAATGTTCTTTACAGTTCCTTATCCATTAGCTGAAATAACTGAAATGTGTTTAGTGTTCGCTTATGCCATGTGGTCTTGAAGCTGAAAGACTTTCCTAGGTTATCCAACACTTACTGGGCAGAGTTGCCTCTGGAGGCCTAAGGAAATGACTGCAATTTGAATTACAGTAAATTAGTGTCACTTTTTTAACCAATTGTCCTTTAACAGGTGTATGCAAGGTAGTCTTATTTTGGATGAATCAACTGTTGTGAATGGAATTTGTGAGATGCACTTCACTGGTAAGAGAGAAGGAACAATATATTTTATTGATATAAACCAATTAATTAACTAAGTTCAACAGTAAGTGCAGCAATGGTTTAACAATATTCGATGGCAAGGTACACTTGATTTTCTGTTGCATAAAAGGACAGGGTCAGACAAAATGGTCATGGAGACCCTCCTGTTGAGTCACAAGGTTCAGAAAGGACTCCCTTGCTTTCTAAACTCCTCAGAGAGGAATCTAGGTGTGGCTGGATCCAATCCTAGTCCTAGACTTAGTCAGCAGTTTGTGTCTAAAGGATTATATGTGTGCACAATCAATCCTTTATATCACGTAGCTAAGAATGCAAACCGAGAATCTGTTGTGGCAAGGAATCTCTTGACCTCGAGTGGTAACCTTGAGAGGAGTCCCTACTCAAGGGGAGATCCTGGCATGCAGCCTGCTGTCATTTCAGCAGAGCTCAAGGGGCTCTCGCACTGCTCAGTATTCATGAGGTACGGTGATATTTGCATACCAACTACAGATGCTAGTTTCTTCAAAATTTGACTTGAGTTGGGCATTGAACAGTGCTGCTGTTACGTGGGTGCATTGCTCAGATTGCCCCTTGGCTATTGTTTTATCTCCCCTGAATCCACTTGGAGCTGAATGCAGCCATCACAACCAGACACATCTTACAGCTACCACTGGTGGTTATTGCTTGGGCAGAGTTATGGGAGATAAGTTGGGCTGTGAGGGGAGCACACCATCACACTGAGTATGAATGCTGAAGCTAACACTGCATTTGTAAGCCTTAACTGAAGTAACTGAGACCTGCATTACTTCTTACTTTAAGAACTTCTGGGGGTTTGGTTTCTATTTAAGAAATCTATTCTGCTCTAGCAGGTTCAGGAACAGTATGATTTGGAAATGAGTGAGGTTCTTCAGCTTTGTAACAAGCGAAAGGAAACAGTGCTTTTATTGTTTGGTTGTTTTGAGGCAGTTTGCTGTGTGATAAATGTGTCGAGGGGCCAGGACATCTAAAGCATCTCCACTAAAGTCTGTAACTTTCTGTGGATTTGCACAGGTATGAATACAAAAAACAGAACTTAATTTAAACCACAGATGCTTTGACATAAAAATACTTGTGTCTGGTCTGAGATGTTGGGACATCTGACTGTCTTTACTATGAAATTACGAATTATGTTATCAGAATTGAAGTACGGTTACAAAACATTTCCGTTGAGAAATTGTTTTACATGTTTGGGAGAGTAGTAGCTTGTATTTTTAATGGGAGCTGTGTGGGTTTGATGGACAAATGTCTCCGTAGAATCATCTCGTATCATGTGGAACCTATTTTGCAAGAGTTAATTTGATTTTAATTCAATTCTTATTGCCTGTGGCATCATTATCCTGTTTCTGAATAGACCAGTAAAATGTTTTATATAGTCTTTATATAGTCCAATAGCTCAAGGTGATGTGAAATTCACGTGTGGTTTGCCTCCCCCCCACTTTTTCCCTTGAAAATGTTTTGAGTGCTTGTGCTTGTAGAGTTTTGTCCTGTAAACTTGTATAAGCCCCTGGATCATCTGCATTTGGGCTGGGGCTTAAATTTGGATTTGTAACAATAACAAATAGAGCCCCAGCTGATGGATGTTGTTGCTTTTCTGAGATGAACTGCTCTGTGTGAATTATTCTACAGCCCAGGTGTTTTCTAAAGCATTCCTTTGGCCTATTCTTGTTTCCCCTCTCAGTTGAGAAATGTATTGCCTACCAGTCTGCGTGAATTGTGCCCACTGCATTTGTGCTTGGGCACCACCAGATTTCTTTTGGGGATTAGCTTGAGTGTCAACTAAAAGTGTACTTTGGGGCAATTTGGGGATTTTTTTGTGCTAAATCTTTTTTCTGGGCTTCACAATTTGTACTACCTTAGGGACTGACTCCTTTGGCTCCCAGAGGTTGTGCTACTCTGACTGTAGCTGTTATGGGAGGGTTGTTTTCTAAGTATGTCAGCGAAATACGTCAACACTATTTCATGCTATAGCACCTACAAAAATCTGAGAGTAACATTTATTATTATTATTCTTTTTTTAAAATATATTCTGGAGAAAGATATTGTGACCTCTTAGAGGAGGAATTGATGAAGATACTTCAAATTCAGTAATAATCTCCCTCTCCCTGCTTCTGATTTAGCTAGCCCATCTTTTGCAGAATTTTGGGATTGATATGGCTGTTTGTGGAGCTTTGGGGTAATTAACACCTCGGTTGCTAATTCTTTAATGGTACCTGTCAAGTTGTAGCAATGAATTGTGGCCTTTTTCCAGTGTGAAAAATGAGTAGATGGATACTGAACAAACTATATGACTATGTTTGTATAGGTATACCTGTACAACTTGAGAGGGAAGTCTGTCCTAGAGAAATAAACTGTTTTTCTTTTAATATAGAATAAACTATACTGTCAGCATTCTAACAGTGGACAGTATCTGAGAAGGAGAAAATAGCCATATGCTTTTTTAATGTTCATGAAGTTTACTGCACTAGTAATATTTTGTGTTCTTACTGGAATCAGATTAACAGCGCCCCCTCCACTGGATATCTTTTCATCTAAGCCTGTCTCTGGTTTATCTATACAGGGCTTTGTGTAGAGATGTGATAGATTCCAGAATTTATTTGCAGAGTCTGGGAACGGGAAGACTATTTTAAGGAGCTGGAGATGCAGCCTTCTCTCTTCCTGCTGTTGTTGGATATCTGCTCCTTAAATTTGTTAGGAATTGTGGAAATACTTTACATTTTCAAGGCATTTTGATAATATCGGGCTAACAATCTATTAAAGATCTTACTTGCAGAATAGATTTTACTAGAAACTGTGTTGTCCCTTCACACGTACATTCAGTTTGTAGTAGGATATAATGTGGAAAGAAAGAAAACTTAATGTGTTTTAGTTCTGTTGAACAAATGAACAGGATATTTTCTCTGCTGAACTCTCAGGATTTGCATATCTTACCTTATTGAAATTAAGATATATGCCATTAGTTTCAAATAAACTTGGAATTTAAAATGTTAAAAATCAGTTATTAGTAAGTTCTGTTTTGGATTAAGCCACTAATCTTTTTGTTTTAATCCTGAAATCTATGTAGCAAAAATAATCACATTCAAATACAAGCTTTCTTTTTTCCTCGTCTCCTTTCTTCACATTTTGCTTTTGAAGCTTTCCCCCCATATCATCAATGTTCATTGAAAAAAAAAGAGAAAAACAAAAGTTAAAAAGTAGTATCTTTGACTGTATATCCCTAATTTATTTATAGGAAAAGTAGAACTTTCACTTAGTGCATTTAGTGATTGATTAAACCTAAATGAATTAATTGCAAACTGGTTGATTTGGTGTGAATAGGTTTTGCTGTTGCCTGTAAACCAGGTCTGGGAAGATGGAAAAAGCTGTTCAAACTTTGAAGTCAGAAAAAGGATTTTAATGTGGTAAAGAGGGAGGCTGAGAAATCCATCATTTTCTGCCCTGCAGTGATGCTTACAAGAAACATTTGGAAGAAGATGACTTTGAGCCTCAGGCTGAAATGGAAAAGGATGGTCTTGAGGTTAAGGAGTTGGTTTGCAGTGTGGAGATGTGGATTCTGGTTGGAGCACTGCCATGGACAGTGCTGCTGTCCCCAGGCAGATAACCCAAGTGCTTTGTTCCTCAGCTGCCTGTGTCACTTGGTGTCTGGGCTGCTTATGCCTATGCAGAGGATAAATTCCTATAATGCATAATAATGTAATGCATAAGATTGCATGATGATAATGTAGGAAAAATCTGTTGAAAGCAAATGGGACTTGGGCATTTCACTCAGGCAGTATATTTTGGGATTTGCAAGTGCACTTCAGAGCTGAGCAGCAGTCTTGTACCAGAGGGAATGAAGTGACAGGCAAAATAGAGCGTGGTCTTCCTTTCACCCAGATGTCACACTCGGCTTTCAGACAGTGAAAAGAAGTGGCAGTTGGCACTAACACTGAAACACTTACTTACCCTTATCTGGGTTTTGTTATTACCAGCTCATCTTACTGCTAGCTTTCTGAATGGTGATTTCTCTGCTTAGCAACTTGATGATAAATGCGGTTAGAGGGAGCACACATGCACTTGCTGGCTCATTTTAAAAAACCCATCAGTTTATGAATATGGAATTTGTTCATGTAGAAGAAGTGACAGTAAGTTGTTAAACTAAGTAATGTGCCTGGAGTCTTTTTAAGAGTATATAAGAAAAGTATTCCGAAGATTTCCCCAGTCATTTTATATTTAAAAACAGTTGTTTAATAAGAAGAAAGTATTCAGGCTTTAGCATCTCCAAATATTCTTACTTTGTTCTTTATGATGCATTTAAAAGGCTGAACCTTCTAAGTGAAAAGGATGTTTAAAGTTGCCATAACTATTGGTTTTTATTATAAAATAGTATTTATTAAATATGTATTATAATGAATGATGAAACAAAAAATACTGAATTTGGTTCAACTGAAAATGCTGAGTTTGTTTCTTTGGTCTCAATACACTTTATTTTCAAGTATCCTGGCATTGAGCTTTATCTTTTGTAGGCTTTTGTGGATATCTTAACGAAATGTTTGATTACTTTTTGGAACCTAATCCAGGGAGGCAGAGTTTGCTTAGTATTTAACTGTTGCACATAAAAATGTTTCAGTAAATGCTGTCTAAATGGGAGTTAGACTGGATAATCTTCTTTAAGGTCCCTTCCAACCCATTCTATGAAATGCTACTGCACTTCTATTTCCAAAATGGCATTTAATTAGTAGGTAATTTAAAGTTGAAGAATGTAAGTCCTTAACTGCTTGCTTCTGTACCACAAGCCATAGAATTTGTCTTGGTGTCTGTTCCATTTAGATTTGTGTTTCTCTTTGGATATCTATCTCAGAATTTTTATTCCAGTGATAGAGGATTTGTCACCATAGCTATAGGAAGAATTTGCTCAGCTTTAATCACTACTTTAAATATTACCTCTTGTTCTGAATACACGTTAGCCTTTGACTTTTCACTGCATCTTTTTATGCTGGTTGTGGATGAGACTGAAGATACCTGTTACCAAATTTAATTTCTACGTGCAGTTGTTTTGGGCAGGCTAGGTTATCTTTTGTCTGTGTTTGGAGTATCTACACTAATGGAGTTTTCTTACTGCAAGCCAGATCTCCCAATAATTTTAATAAATAATGATAGTTCTGATTATTATTTGGTATTTCAATGTTTTCCTTCATATGTGGACACCAGGTCTGTGTACAGTTTCAGTTGTGGTTGTGGTCAGGATCAAATACAGGGGTAATGCATCCCATTTCCTCCGGCTCAGTACTCCCTGCTTAAAAAGTTCAAAGACCACTAGCTTTCTAGGCTGCTGCCATTATTTTTTGAAAACTAGGTAGTTAATTTTGCCTTGTAAGTTTAACTGTTAGTCTAATCACACAGAACACTGAGATCTCAAGTTCCCTGGTGCTGCTTGGGTTCTCCATACAAGTCTTTTTCATACCC